AATCCATGGGGATGGGATTTGACTGATAAGAGGTAGATTTGTACAACTTTTCAGGAACATGGCCATCAGGTACAGTGAGGGACTCTTGTACGCTTCTTCCAACACATGTACTTTCCTCTTGAGACAAAAAGAGAAACTCCAGGCATCTGAAAATCAAATGTTGGTCACAATCGATACCACCTGGATTAGTAAGGAACTTAAATTTACCTTTCTTCTTTCACAGGTCTGATTTCACCTGGTCTTGCTGACTACCTCCAATCACTTCATTTCTCCCCTCCTGTCCTTTTTGTACACCTGTTTGTTTGTCATGGTACAAACGCTCTGTTCTAAAATTCTCATCAGAGGAAATGGCTTATGTATATGTGTAACAACTAGATAATACGTCTGTGAGCTACATAAAGCCTTGCTCTTATTTCTGAGTCACAGTTACAGAGGGACAACTGCAGCTCCAGGAGAATAAGCGAGGGGCTTCAAATATTTAGAGAACTGTATGTATAAGCCTGGATAGCAAAAGTAGATCCAATGGGTAGAAGTTACAGGCAAGCAGATTATCACTCAACAATTTCAATCTCTTCGACGAAAGAAACGTTTACCTTGTCCAGTACTGAATACTTTGTCATTAGACATGCTTAACAAATCTGAAAAAATTTCCTCTTAGGTGTATGATGGAGGGTAGGCCAGCATGGATAGGAAAAAGGTAAGTCTAATTTTAAAGAGCCTGTGATTCTGCAATAAATTATGTTACATGAATAGTTTCTCCATAATTGAGATACACAGCCATACACATCCAGGTGAGGAGGCAAGGTGACTGAAAATGAACTTTAGGCAGAAACAAGACAGGAGAGGTGCCCATCCCTGACCCCATAGTAGGAGGTGATTCTATCCTAGATATGGATAAAAACTGACCTATAAATAGCTTTGAAGACAGAAAATGTTTTGGAAAAGATTAGAGGTTGAAAAGCCAGAGACTTGAAGATAAAATCTAATGGGCAAAAGAAGCTGTGCTTGTATATTAACTACACGTGGGTGTAGTTAATAAGACACAGGTGCCTGACTTAATGGCAGTTTATTTTTATTATTGTTTTAAGGCTACTGTAGTAGGAAATTTAGTATTCTGGTTTTTCTGTTCTGGGTAAGAAGGAGAATGAAAGAAAATGATCTTTTCCGCCCCCACCCAGGTTTGCATGGGCAGCTGAAGAGCCACAAAGAGCTTGCATTCCAGAGTATTCCAATAGATACCACCCTCCTTGACCAAAATGCCACAGAGCTGGCAAAGATTTCTCACCAGATTAATGAGAGGCTTCTGAGACTATTAACACAAGACTATTGTTTCTGGAATTTAGCTGAGGTCTCTTGGAGAAAACTGGTCAGTCCAAAAGAAAGACATAGATAAGAAAAGTGTAAGACACACTGGTCTGACTGCTGTAATACTGTACCAACACTTTCTGCAAAACTGTCATTATTGTACGAGGGATGCTATCTTAGAAGTCTGTGAATCTCTGTCATTTAAAAAGCTAATCATAGCATAATGTTAACACATAGGAACCAGGCTATTCTTGTTTTCTGGGCTCATGACCCAACTGACCACAGCACTTTCTTAGCACCAGGAGGGTTGTTCTTACAATGTTGCTACTTTGGAATTTCCTTTTTTGAACCCTCTGAGTAAAAACAAAAGCTAGGGGTAAAAAAAAAGGAGCCATGCAATTTAACACAGCAAGTACAAGCCAGGATCTGTTTGGTGTGTTTTCTATTTCTCCAGGAAAGGGTGATCAAAAACAACTTGATGCATCTCCAGTTTTTTCCACCAAGCTATTTCACATGGTCCCATCACCCCAAATCACAAATGTGCTCCACTCTGGCACACAAATCACCCACCATACACACACATAAAAGGAGATCTGCCTAATAAACCAAGTCACACCGACACTTGTTTCCCATTCCCAATGCGGTCGGCTGGGAGTGAAAAAATACCAAGTCAGCCTGTGGAACTGTACGTAGTCTCAAAGTATCTGCGCACAAAACACTTATTAATTAGGAATGGAAACACAGTCATTTTAACGTAGAGAAAACTTGCAGACACACCATGACCAAATGACCAAAGTTAAAGTCACGAGCCATGAAACAAATCAACATGGTGTTCCTCCTGATCTGATGCACTGAGAACACAGCCTTTCCCTGGTGTTCTTGCTAAACCTGAATCTCATCATGAGAGCAGATATTCTCCCAAATAACTGGCCTGTAATCTTCAAAAAAGTTGTAGCTCATGAATGGAAAAAAAAGAAAGAAAACAGAAGGAAGTATAACAGAGTAGTCAAAGGGGACTTCAACAAAATGACATTTAGATGTGATCCTGGCCCAGAAAAGAGACAATTTGTAAAACTTCAATAAAATCTGTTGATGAGATAATAATATTGAATCAATGTTTATATACAGATTTTTACCAGAATGTTGACTGGTGTACTCCTGGTTGTATAAGGAGTGTCCTTGGTTTCAGTAAATATACAGTGAAATATACAGCACTAAAGCAGCATTGTGTCTGTAATTTGCTTCCAAATTTTCAGAAAACATATATACATACATACCTATACATACATACATACATGTATGCATGTGTATACATGTGTATAGATCGAAGAGAGAGAACATGATCAAGTAAGTATGGTAAAATGTAAAATGTAAATGCTAACCTTTGGGGAATCTGGGAAGGGTATTCAAGAATTCTTCATAACATTTTTGCAACTTCTCTGTAAGTAAAATGTTTTTAAAAATAAAAAAAAAAACCTAAGTGGGTCTGAGCTTTATGAGGAGGGAACTGGAGAAACAGGGGGAATGTAGTGGCCCCCCCACCTCTCTGTTCCCCCACCCCCAACACTGAGAAGCATTGCCATGTCCTGGGTTCCCCTGAAAGCCACTGAGGGAGGCCCTGCAGTGAGCTCCCTGAGAATACCACTATGTCTCCAAATCCCCAGAGCCTAACACAGGTCCTGATATATACTAGAGGCTCAAGAAATGGACAATGCATGATTGAATGAACTTAAGGAAATATCTGAAAGAAATTGTGGGCACGCCCCAATCTGCGGTACTCCATCTGCAAAGTTGGTAGCATTGCAGCTCTCTTATATAAATGGCTGGGTGGGAATGAAGGACAGCAGGCATCAGAATGAAGAGTAAGACGCAGTTCTTCCCTGGGATGTCCTTCTTACAGAGGAGGAAGGAGAACTGAGCATGGACTACCTAGGGTTGGTCTGTAATGACCTTGCTCCTCTGGACTGGGGGAAGAAGGGCACACATTCCAGGTGCTACTGTCCCAGCATCCAAGGTCTCTGTGGGATCCTGCATAAGCTATCGGCTTGTCGGAAAAGTCATGACGTATTTTTTCTGTTTTTCGTTGCAAAAAATGCGTCATGACTTTTCCGACAACCCAATATTTGATGCAGAGTTAAGAAGAAATGAAGACTGAGATTCCCCAAGATAACATTAAGGATTGAATAGCTCCATATTCAGTAAATCCTTCATCATGAACACAATACCTTGTAACATTCTGCTATTACTTCCCAAACCGACTAGTGCTTGGTTTTTCAAGTTCACATTGACTATGCCCATGAGATCTGAAATTGGAATTTTAATTTCCAAAGGTCTAGAAAACTTTGAAAAAGTTGCTTAATAGATAAAAAACGTGACTTTGCTTTGAAAACTGAGCTAATTAAAAAACACTGTAACAGATTACTTTTCCAGAAACATTTAATTCTGAATAGAGATGAAGGGGAAAAATATTATAACCCACAGGTCACCAGAGTGTAAGTATTAGGGGAAGTTCCTATAAGCCCAGAAAATTGGGATCTACGACAAATGTGCTTTTCCTAACCACCAAGATACAATTTCACAACCATGAACACTGTGATAATATTCCAGAAAAAAATTTAAAAAGACAAACCATGACACATAACAGAGGGCAGGACACCAAACTGCAAACCTGATTTGGATATTAATTCAAACAGGGACCTTTTTTGTTTCAGTAAGGAATATAATTTTTAAGGAATCTCTAGGTGGGACTGCTATGCTCATTGGTAGGGACTTATTCACCAATTTATTGGAAAATAAGCTCATATGGTAAACCCAAATCACAATGGGTTTAAAAAAAAAAGTCCCTTCCTAATCAGTAAATAATAAACAGTAAGCCCACAGAGGAACTGGGGCAGGTTGGCATAGCTAGCCTCATTTCCTCTTTACTTGCCATGTCTGGGAGACCAAAGAGCTCTCTGTCAGAGTCAATCCCTTCTTCTCATTTAGTAAGAACAGATATTTAACACACCCTCTGAGTTCTGGTTGCCAGTTACTAGTTTATTTGTCCCCAACATCCGTTAGCTTCCTATCTCCCAGTTCAAAGCTGTTCCACGTCTCTAAAATGGAGTGGGAGGACATATCATACCTCCTTCTAGGTGTTCCCAGGGATGTGTTGTCTATATAACCCAAAGACTTGGAGGGAAGACAACGTGTAAGAAAGATACCTGATAAGCCCCTAACATTAAACCTCTTCCCCCAGACATGGTCTATTTCTTGGGCTGCTGATGGCAGGTGAAATCACAGGATTCATGGTGATCTAAGGCCTCACCTAAGGGTTCTGGAAGAGACCCCTCTATGGAGTTCAGATAGAGCCTCAGATCTGCATGCAAATAGACAGGCAAGATAGTGTGGCATTCTTAATACTTTAATACTTCTTAATCAATCTCTCCGACACACTCCTTCTCATTTCTCCATGAGAACCCAAATTTGTGACACCCTTGGGCTGTTCTACAACTGGGGTGATAATGGCATTTGAATAAAAATCAAGCCATTGCCTATTTTTGTCTGAAGAGGAAGCAAAGATACTGGGCCAAAGGATAGTATGACAGCTCTTGAAATTTGAGCCTTTATGCTGGTCATCAGTTCCTAGTGTGACATTACCAATGAAAAATGCAGGAGCTTTGCTTATTGGTCCCCACCCAACTGGATCTTCTTACCTTTGGTTCCATTGAAATGAAACTGTGGGTTCCTCTGCTTGAGAGAACTGACCTTTTAATCGTCCTGCTATGGTAGAAGTGGTAATAGTCCTTCAGGGCCCCGATCTGCAAAGATAGGAGGGAAAGAACAAAAGGAAGTGAGTTAATTTATGAAAACAATCTTCTGTTTTCCTGTTTTTCATTAAAATAAGAACACAAAACAAGAAAGGTCCATAAATTATGCATTGCCTGCTCTGCTTAAGTGTTATTTGAAACTTGGTGATCATTTTCCAAAAGATGGACACGTGATATGAAATGGAGTGTCCTTGAGGCAGTGACTGCGGAACTAAAGATTATAATGGGGCAGCTTAGCCTCTCCACAGTTCCATTTAAATGTTTAATTTATGTTCAGCATTTTAAGTAATTCTATATCAATCTATATCCAAATGTGGGAAAGAGAAAAAATCAAATAGCTATCTGGTTATAAAAACACATTGCATTCTGTTGGCTCTGAGAAATGTACAATGAAGAACCTTGTTAGATTATTTATACCATTAATTTGAAACAAGTCCTAAGCAGTTGATCATTCACAAAGAAAACACTAGTTAGTTTCCTGCCATCACTAGACAGTATAAATACATAGCAGTTTTTCATTTATTGCAGAACTAAAAGTGGAATGGCAATTTCTAAAACAAAACAAAGATCACACATCTTACCAATCAACTGAGCTTTCTGTGTAAAAATATTTCAATCTATTTTCTCTTAACCATTTCTTTAACAAATTAGTCTTCTGATTTGTGTACCCCATTCTTTAGTTAAAAGCAGTTAACTCTCTTTCGGATAGCTTTGAAAGTAAGTCCCTGTCCACTTTAAGAAAATAAATGAACAAAATCCCAAACAATCATATTCTCTCAGCAAATTATAAAATGTGGATTACATAATGGGGATTGAATAATACAACGAATGAAGACAGGAGAGCTTGGCTCTAGTTCTAGCTGACAACAAAAGTGACTCGTTGGCTAAATCACATATACTTACTATGTATCAGTTTCCATTTCTATAAAATTGGACTTTGGGTTAATTAATTCCTGAGATCATGGTAGCTCTCAAATTCCATTGTTTGACACTGACACTTTCCTTGCTTTGGGCAAATACATTAAGTGGCTATTTCTCCAAAATACCATGGCTTTGCCCTAAAAGAATGACCACTGTTAGAATGTTTTCCAATTGGGACAAAAGGTAAGCTTTCCTAATTTTAAAGAAGAGAAGGCATTGACCAGCTTAATTTTCCCAGATAAAAGGTTTCTTTGTTATTCCCATCTTTCCAGCACATTCTCAGCCATCACCCCCACCTCCACCCCCACCTCCCACACATACACTTCCAATAAAGGATATCAACCCAATTTTTGTGCTATTTAAGAGTCATCTCACTGGGTCTTTAGGTACTAGCTGAATGTTTCTAATCATCATTAAAACTGAACATCTGAAGTCTCACATTTTTCACTGAAGTAGAAACTGCCCAGATGTACACAGAAAAGATCCTGGACTCTGAATACAAATATGAAACAAAGACAAGGAAACCCCCGCTGAAACCTCTAATCTCAGTGATCCTAGACTCTGTCTGAAACAGCAGCAAACAATGAGGAAGATGGCACCAATTCCACTCCCAGTCTCCAAAAGTGTTTCAAGAAGGGATTTACAGGACAATTTTAAGTTTCTAAAGGACTAAGGGTAGAATTCAAGGGGCCATGTAATACTTTGTAAGAAAATCTTAAAATCCCAGGAAGCTTAGAGTTTTCACCTCATGGTGCTTTTGTCAAGACTGTTCCGTGAGAAAAGACAGTAGTTCTTGTGGAAAGCAGCTTCGAATTGCTGAGGAAGAACTTTACACAAAACCTATCAACAGTGTAAAAAATGCCACTGTGCTTAAGAAAATGTCCACTCCACTATAATGGAACCTCTTCGATTATAGGAAATGAGTGACTTCAACTTAACTATTAAGTTCAAACTATGGATGACACACACCTTTGAAGATATATTCAGATTGTTTGAGGCCTCACTGGTACAGACTGGAATCCTGCCCTAACATAGTGTGTAGAGGGAGATGGAAAACAGAACCCTTGTCCTGACTTAACTTGCTCTGGGGTCTTGGATGCGTTACTTAGCCTCCATGGGCCTTTGTTTCCTCCACTGTAAAATAAGGAGGACACAGGAGGTACAGTGGACAGAGACTGGGCATCAGAGTCAAATGGGGGATAATAATGTTTATGGGTAGTCTGGTTATAAGGACTGAATGTAAATAGTAACAGGTGTGCTACCTGGTCAAGTCATTGCCTGGTACATAGTAAATGTGAGAAGGTTATTAGTGTCCCTTACAAATTTCAATTTAAATCCTATCTTCTCTCACCTCCTATCCTCTAATGAATCCCTCAGCTCTATTCCTTGGTTAGGTTGCCTCTGGGTCTATCCTGGTATCACCTCTTTAATTAACTTATTTCACTGGCAAAAATAAAAAAGCTTGATGATTCACTGTTGGCAAGGATATAGGCACAGATTGGTAAAGAGCACACTCTGGGACAGGTGTTTTGAGAGCAATTTGGTAGTATCAATATAATTATAAGCAGTAACTAACCTTTAACCCACCCCTTCTACTTTTAAAAAATTATTCTACAGATATAGTCACTTCTTTATATACAAGAATGGATATTAGAGTCAATTTTGTAACAGCAAAAACAAAAATGCGAACAACTAGCTGCCATCAGTAGGGGATTTGTTCTACATTAACTAAAATGGATTGATCACCAATGTAGTAAGTAAATAAAGTTGCAAAATATGTATATAATATGACCCAGTTTTTTTAGGGGAAAAAGGAAGAATATATATTACATTTGTGCTTCAAGGCACAGGATATTTCCGGAAGGATACTCGAGAAACTGAAAAGAGGAACTTTCTTTCCATTGTTTATGTGCATGCATTATTTTTTAATTAAAGTAATTAAAAATGAAAGAAATCACACAAATAAATGAAATAGCACACACACACACACACACAAATCCCATCTACTTTTCTGTTGGCCAATATACTCCCAAAATTTCATGTGACTGATACAATGGCCCCATCATTCAGGCCACTAAATCTCGATAGTAAGTAAGCTCTACTGTATCTCCATCTTTCAGAGATTCTGTTTCCTCTGTAGAATTGTGGAATGGTGCTGATTGACTGATGCCTCATTTATTGAATGTCTACCATGTGCCAGGCATCTTGCTACTCTTCTGCCTGTTATATTTAACTTCATTCCCCCAAAAGCCCTTGAAGATAAATATCATTACCTCCAATTTGATATACAAGGCTACTGAGGCTCTGGAAGTGACCAAATGTACAAGGCTAGTCTTGGGAGGTGGTAAAATTTAAATCTTTGTTGAACGTCTAGCATCAGGATGAATTTAGTTAAGTTTCATGGTGCATTCTATGGATAGGCTCAAAAGAAGTATTCCAACATCCTTCTGGTGAGGCTCCTGTACTGCAGAGCTAAAAGGCTAAACTCAGTAAAGCTAGGTTTCTGAATGTGATTCAAGTTCTACCAAGCAACGGCACACCACCGCATCATGAGGCATGGTCTTGGAGGAATTGATGTGTTTAATGATAGTTGTGGCAGGAATCTTAGTGCCTGGTTGCTAGCTTTCTCGGTCTCCATTTGCACGTCCTGTTTTGTTGGTATGCTGGTAAGAGATTGTAGAAGAGCTACAGGGATAGCAGAGGGTAGCTTCCTCATGCCTCGGTTTCCTGACTGAGGCAGAAGCAGCAGCCCTCATGGAGGCCCATTCTGTGGTTGGCTTTGGGGGCCATTTCTGAAAGCCTGGCTCTTGTGATTGATTCTACAAGCTATTTAATAGTCTACACCGAATGCCTCACCAAGTAGACCAAGTATTCAGTAGACCAAGACTCAGTATTAGGCTGCCCTGAATATCGAAAACTAAAGAGGTTAGAGCATCTGAAAAAGTAGCTATACATTTACATAACCTTATACAACTTAGAGATCCTCAAAATTATGTACTCTTAAGTCATGGGCTGTAGGCACCAATGAGCCACAGGCTACAGGATGTCCCAGTGTGTCTGTTCTAACATCCTGTTAGATGACTACACTTGGGTCTAGTCATCTCAGACCCATTTGTACCACCCTCTGCTCTCATATCTGTTTTCCACACAGTAGCCGGGTTATTAAGATTACACAAGGTTATAAAATTTGGCTATGTCATGTCTGACCCTTGCCTAAAATTGATTAGTGGCTCCCTTTGCTCTTAAAATAAATAGTAATAGTTAATATTTAATGTTAGTGAATAATATATTGGGTTGTCGGAAAAGTCATGACGCATGTTTGCAACAGATGCCACTAGTTCATTTTTGGTTTTTGTTTTTGTTTTAAAAGACTTTTATTAGGGAATTGGGGGATGGGAACAGTGCTGGGGAATTGGGGGAAGGGGAACAGACAAGTTGCTGTCCTTTTGTTCTTCAGTCTAGTTATGGAGGACGTT